TCCACACCTTTCAGTGCAGCCCAGGAATTTATATTGCTAACCCTGTTCTGTTTTTCTATCACTTATAATCTGCTTCAGTTTTACACGTGCGATGAACTGTGCCACCAGAGCTTCCCTGCAGCACAATTCCTTCTTTTCCAGCTCCAAAACTCCTCATTTTCCCAGCTCTCACTCACAGTGACAGCTCTGCCTTGCTCACATGCCAGGCTGGACAGGAGGCTTAATTTAAGATCAGGCTTAATTTAAAAACCAAACAAAACAAAGAGTTAAGCATCCCAATGGTGCTGTTTGCTCAGCCTGGCTGCTCTGCCCATAAAGCCAGGATGCTTCCTCCTGATAACTGCATTTACTGGGCCTATGTAAGCTGATGGGGACAATTAAGATAAGCTGAATAAATAAGTGCAGTAATTACAAGAATTTAGACAACTGTAGTTCTGTGAGAAGTTACCTGTATTTGACCAGTGAATTATGGAGACAGAAAAAATATTTAAAAAAAAAAGAGGAAGATCCCAGATCCATGTAGAACCTCCCTCTGCTTAGATTCCCAAAGGGAAAAGCCTTCTCACTATTTCTCCTTTTCTGTGTGACAACACTCTGAGCACACTGATTGTTTCTGTTTAGCAAACTGCCACGTGAAACAAAGGCTAAAAATCCATTCCTGGACGGAAGCATCCCAGGAGGAGCAAAGGCAGAGGTGCCTCAGCTGCTCAGAGACTGCAGCAGCTCTCCCTGCTGCACACTCAGCTCCTGGAGCTCCTCTGAGCTTTCCCTGATTTCCCCTCCTTCTCTCACTCAAAGGCAAAGCATTTGGAACGACTCTGGATTTTGAAATCCACTTATAAACAATTTCTTACATATTTGAATTATTCTTCACCCTGAATAATAATTTCCACACAAAGGATGATTTTCTTTACCATTCCATGCAGGGCTTTCCCAAAAGCTGAAAGTCTGAAGCAAGAAGCTCTCCACTCTCACAGATTCACTCCAAGTGGGATAAGCAGCACACTGGGACAGTTTTATTCCTGTCACAGCTCCCCAGCAGCTGCTTCCCTCATGCAAAGTTAACATCTGAATTGTATGAGCTCGCTCAGGTTTCCAGGCGCTGCATTCATCAACCCCACTGAACTAGAAACAGAAATGGGACAGCAGCACATTTACTACAGCTCTCACCAGCTCCCGAGCCTCTCCTGACCCAAACTCCTGCTGACTGAGAAAGGCACAATTACTGCATGCCACAGAAACATAAAAACCTGCCACACTCGGGAGAGCAGAGCTCTGAACTGCTCCTTACACGGGCTGGGTGCTGGGGCACAAACCAGCCCTGGACACAAACCTGTGAGCACCTGGGAAACTCCAGTTTAGAACTGGAGAATCACATCCCTGGGACACAAACCAGCCCTGGGACACAAACCTGTGAGCACCTGGGAAACTCCAGTTTAGAACTGGAGAATCACATCCCTGGGACACAAACCTGTGAGCACCTGGGAAACTCCAGTTTAGAACTGGAGAATCACATCCCTGGGACACAAACCTGTGAGCACCTGGGAAACTCCAGTTTAGAACTGGAGAATCACATCCCTGGGACACAAACCTGTGAGCACCTGGGAAACTCCAGTTTAGAACTGGAGAATCACATCCCTGGGACACAAACCTGTGAGCACCTGGGAAACTCCAGTTTAGAACTGGAGAATCACATCCCTGGACACAAACCTGTGAGCACCTGGGAAACTCCAGTTTAGAACTGGAGAATCACATCCCTGGGACACAAACCTGTGAGCACCTGGGAAACTCCAGTTTAGAATTGGAGCATCACATCCCTGGACACAAACCTGTGAGCACCTGGGAAACTCCAGTTTAGAACTGGAGAATCACATCCCTGGACACAAACCTGTGAGCACCTGGGAAACTCCAGTTTAGAACTGGAGAATCACATCCCTGGGACACAAACCAGCCCTGGACACAAACCTGTGAGCACCTGCGAAACTCCAGTTTAGAATTGGAGAATCTCATCCCCGGGACACAAACCAGCCCTGGAAACACAACACATCCCTGGGACACAAACTTGTGAGCACCTGGGAAACACAACACATCCCCGGGACATCAACCAGCCCTGGAAGCACCTGGAAAACATCCCTGAGACACAAAGCTGTGAGCCCTTGAGCACCTAGGAAACATCCCCGGGACACAAACCAGCCCTGTGAGCCCCTGGAAAACACAACACATCCCACGTGCATCTCCCTTCAGCGCTGCTGGGCTCCTCGCTGCCAGGGCCAGGGGTGAGCCGGGCACCGGCTGTGTCCCCCCGGTACACACCGGGCTGTGAGCCGGGCACCGGCTGTGTCCCCCCGGTACACAGCGGGCTGTGAGCCGGGCACCGGCTGTGTCCCCCCGGTACACAGCGGGCTGTGAGCCGGGCACCGGCTGTGTCCCCCCGGTACACAGCGGGCTCTGCCCACACCGGGCCGTCCATCCCTGCTCCGGCAATTCCCAGCTCTCACGGCTTCCCCGCAGCCCCCACCAGCCCAGCAAGAACAACTCTGAGAGAGCCCGAGTGAGCAGCCGGGGCCAGCAGCCGGGCCGGGCTGTTCGGCACCGCCGCGGCTGCGAGCCTGAGCCTGGGAATGCCGAGCTGGGAAAGCCTCCCCGGGCTGACCCAGCTGAGGCGGCAGCGGCAGCTCCGGCAGTGCCCAGCTGCGAGACCCGGCCGGGGAACCCTGCCCAGGCGAGGCTCGGAGCTCCGGCTGCAAGACCCCGCCGGAGAACCCTCCGCATGCGAGGCTCGGAACTCCGGCACCGCCGGGGGTGACCCAGGGCGAAGGCCCCAGCGCTGGGCGCGCACCCCGGGGCCGGCTCCGGCCGCTCCCTCCCGGCAGCACCGGCAGCACCTTGGCCAGCAGCAGCCCCGGCCCCGCGGAGCCCCGGGGGCGCGGAGGGCCCGGGGCGGGGCAGCGCCTGAGGGGCGCCGGGGCGCCATGACGGTGACAGGGCCGGGGGGCCCGGGGCCGCGACCCGCCCGCTCCCGGCGCCGCGGCGGCCGCTCGGTACCTGCCGTAGATGCCCTCGGTGATGCGGTTCCGCTTGAGCGGCCGCCGCAGTTTGCTGCAGTCCGCGCTCCGCCGCTTCATCCCGCCGGCCCGGCCCGGCCCGGCCCGCCCCGCTCACGGCAGCACCATCCGCCCCCGCGGGGGGTTCCCGAGCGCGGGGCTTTTTTTTTGGGTTTATTTTTCTTTTTTTCCCTTTTTTTCCTTTTTTTTTTCCCCGGGAAACAAAGAAATAAAAATAATTCCTGGTCCGTCCCTCCCCGCCGTGTCCCCCCGCGCAGCCGCCGCGCAGCGCCCCGCCTCCCCGGCGATCGCCAATCAAACGGTTGATCCTACCTGAGTGACAGCATTTCCGACCAATCGGCAGCGGGCAAACGCAGACAGACGGTAAAACGGACCAATCGCAGTGTCAGAAAGTTGAGTCCGCCTCAGGCAGTCGCGTGGCACGCCCACCACTGTGAATGACGGCCCTGCAACCCAATCAGAGAGGATTATTTGTGATTGATGGCCTGTCAACCAATCAGAATACAGATTTTGGTCTCCTCCTGCCTACTGTGCTGCTGGCTAGTTCCCGCCCCCTGCGGTGACCGACAGCAAAATTGCCCAATGGAGGAGAAACAGAGAAATAAAAGGACAGCTCAGCCATCCACTCGGAAACGGAAGAAGGAGGGCTCTATTTCCTCTGTCACCGTAGCACCGAGGTGCCACCTCTCCCGCTTGATTGACAGCCTCGCTGGCGAATGGGCAGTTGGGGCAGGGGACACCCCGTCTCAGGTGCAGAGTCAGGCAGTGACAGTTTGTGACGCCCGGTGCCGCCCCCACAGCGCGGCCTGCCCTGCCGCTCACCGGAGAGCAAAATAACCCCCAGCGTGACGGACAGGCCGCGCCAGCCAATAAATAGCGCGCGTAGCTGAGTGACAAGACACTGGACCAATCACAATACAGGACGCACCGCCCAAAGACCGTCGGTGCTGGGGATAGGCCAATCAGAGGCCAGGCGGAGCTGCGCTCGGCCAATGGGAGGGCAGTCCCTAAGGGCGGCCTGTGGGTAGGGGGCGGGCATTCAGTGAGGGGCGGGTCCCGCCGGCGCTGCCGCCACCGGGGGCTGCCGAGTCACGGCCGGGCAGTGATGGGCTGAGTGTGAGGGTCCCTAAACGGCGTTAGAGCTGCCCCAGGAGGATGCTGGGCTGAGGCACGGCGGTGTTTTTCTGGTGGTGGAGTTATACTTTACAATTGGAGCATCACGGATTTGTTTGGGCTGGAAGAGACCTTAAAGATCACCTCATTCCAGCCCCTGCCATGGCAGGGACACCTTCCACTGTGCCAGGGTGCTCCAAGCCCTGTCCAACCTGGCCTTGGACACTGCCAGGGCCTCACCACCCTCCTGCAGAAGAACTTTTCCCTAACAAAAGTTACTTTGTGCTTCACCCTGTCAAAGATCACCAAGCTTTGGTCTCTTTTTGGAAACAAGCTGTGAATCCGAGCATCACCTTTCCAATGTGCCATCCTGAGGGAAAACGGGTGAATTCCTCACCTTTGGGGTGTTCTCCCTGGACGGGATTTAGTAACAGGTAGCAGAAAGGCTCATTGTGCTAGCTAAATTAATTCTAAAATTGCTGCTTGAGCTGTTGCCATGTTTAGAGAACACCAGGTTTGGTTCTGTGTGAATTACCCATGGGTTCACAGGACTGGCAGAAAAAGGATCTGGATGTGGCCGTGGCTGTGACCACGGCTGAGACTGTGACCGTGGCTTTGCCCACAGACACTCTGAGCTCAGCCCATGTGAGCCGGACTCCGTTTGGCTCCTGCCGTAACCCAGATAAGGAGCTGCTCCCTGCTCACGCCTCTCGGCCTGGTTATCTCTCACTGAGCTCCCATTGCTGACCCCCACAGCTCCTGTGCTGCTGGTGTGAGGGCACAGGGACGGTCCCACCGGGCACAGGGACATCCCTCAGGGCACAGGGACATCCCACAGGGCACAGGGACCAGAGGAATCTCTCCTGAGCTGCTGCTCCATGTAGTGCACGATGCCTTCCCGCTACCTGAGCTTCCGCTGCAGCGTGCCCTGGCTGATCCTTGTGCTGCAGGCTCTGCTCCTCCTGCGCTCCTTCTTCGGCTTCCCACGTGTCAGTGACACCTACTCCCCGTCCAACCCCTACCCAGGTAAGCCTGGTACCCTGCTGGGGAACAGGGGGATCCCTGCTGCTCTGCAGGGTCTGGTGGTGAGGAGCAGAATGGTTTCATTGCTCTCTGAACTTGCCAGGAGTGCTGGCAGCTTCTTTATGTCACAGGTGTGATGGGGATCCGAGACTGAATTGTAATTTTGGTCAGTTTTCTGTTGGGGTTTTCACCTCTCAGCCCCCATCCTGATCCATTTACACATCCTGATCCATTCAGATCAGCGTGTAAAAATAAATTCAGCTTTAAGGGTATTTTATTTTTTATTTTTTATTAAGGGTATTTTATTAAGGGTATTTTTTATCTTATTATGCATTGGAAATAAAGTTCTGAAATTCTTTGCAACCTCTAAACAATAATTAAAATTTTACCTGAAGGCTTCTTAGTTAACTGTAATTTTTTAATTGATTTTTTTTTTTAAACCAGAAATCTCCGTTAATGATTTCACTTTTCTGTCCCGCAGAATTTCAAGATGTCAACCACATGGTGATTTTTGGATTTGGCTTCTTCCTGATGGTTCTGAGAAGATATGGCTTTAGCAGCACCGGGTTCAACTTCCTGCTCGTTGTTCTGGGTGTCCAGTGCTCTGTGCTGGCAGAGGATTTATTAGTTTTCCTTAGGGGACAGCGAAATGCACCTGGTTTGGAAAGGTAATGAGTTCGTGTTAGAGCTGGGCTGGTGCAGAACTGCTGATTGCTCCCTGTGCAGTGAATGCCTCCTTGTGGGGCCCTGGTGGGGTTGGGCAGAGTCACATTTGCAGGCATTTTAGAGGACTTTTGGTTTTTAAGTACATTGCTCTGTGTAATTCCTTTTTATTGGCCCTGGTGTCACCCTGAGGCTGAGTTGTTCTTTCCTCTCTTGCAGCCTAGCAAAGGCTTTTGTGAGCGTGACTGCTGTGGTCATCTCCACTGGGGCTGTCCTGGGCAGGGCCAATCCTGTGCAGCTCATTGTCATGACCCTGGTGGAATTAATCTTCTTCTACGTGAGCAGATACATCAACGAGACATTCCTGGAGGTACCCTGGTGGGATTGGCAGAGGCGTGGGGGGAAATGTCGCTGGAGCTTTGGGGCAAAGGCTTTGTGTGGCCTGGTTCAACTCACAGCTGTGAATGTTCAGTCAGGAGCTGCAGCAAAGGCTTTGTGTGGCCTGGTTCAACTCACAGCTGTGAATGTTCAGTCAGGAGCTGCAGCAAGGCTGTGTGTGGCCTGCTCAGCCCACAGGAAGCTGTGAATGTTCAGTCAGGAGCTGCAGCAAAGGCTTTGTGTGGCCTGCTCAGCCCACAGCAAGCTGTGAATGTTGTGTTGGAGCAGGTCTCTCGGCACCTCACTGGGACGCACGTGTTCCTCTTTGGAGCCTACTTTGGCCTGGCACTCGCCTCCCGCTTCCCTGAGGCTCCCCCGGGGCTGGACAAGGACAGGAGCACCCCAAAGTCAGAGCTGTTCTCAGTGCTGGGTGAGTCCTGCTGCAGTGCCCCAGCTGCACGAGGGATTGAGGGAGAGCATGGGCAGGGCTGGGGGTTTAAATGCGAAATGCAGCTCTGGATGCAGCCAAGCACACAAACTGTGCTGTTTGTGACACTGGCCCCTCTCCTGCCCGGCCCAGAGGCCACTCCTGCCACAGCTGGGGCTCAGTTTGCTCTGTCACCTCAGCACAAAGGCAATTCCAGGCTCCCAGCTCTTTCTCCAGGCTCACGCTCCCTTTCCTGGCCAGGCTGTCCCCTTGGCCGGTGGTGAGGGGCTGTGTGCCAGAGCTGAGCTCAGAACTCGTGTTCAGCAGGGCTCAGGCTGCTGCTCCAGGTGGTGCACAGAGATAGAAAAGGGCAGTCCCTGCTGGTGAGGGAAATAAAGAGATAAAGCCTGCTGAGGGGTGGGGAGTGTGATACAGACAGGCCCATAAGGGTAGGGACAGGCTCAGGGTCTGGGGCTTTCACTCCTTTTCTTAGGGGAGCAATTTGGTGTCTTTATTATCACAGTAGTGCAACTGCCAGCAGCTGAGCCCAGAGCTTCCTGCAGGGGTCCACAGAGTCTCAGTCAGTCTGTGCCCAGTTTAGGGAACACAAAATTTAAATGTTCCTCTTTTGTGTCCCTGGAGTTCTTGTTTGCTGTTTATTTCTAGAGCTGAGCAGATCCTCGCAAGAATGCTGCAGAGGATTTTATATCTGTATTTACGACTGGCTAACTGCCTGATCAGTGGGAATGGGATGAACCATCTCACATCCTCAGTGCCACATTCAGTTTAGAGTTGCTGAAATGGCCTGTCCTGTGTGAGGCAGGGTTACCTGTGCCTTGGTGCACTGAAATCATGGATATCAGCAATGGAAACTGGATTTGTGCCTCACAGTGACAATGCCTGTGTCACCTGTTAGAGGTGTGGGACAAAGCTTTGGGAAAGCTTTGGGAATTACAGTGAGTGCACCCTGTGGTCTGCAGCCCTGCAGGGACAGGCAGTGATGGCTCCCTGTGCTTCAGAGCAGCTCCTGAGGCTCTCTTTCCTTGTCCCCAAGGCACTGTGTTTGTCTGGGTGTTCTGGCCGAGCTTCAATTCCATCCTGCCTTTACTCAAGATGCGAGCAGTGCTCAACACTTACTTGGCCCTGGCAGTGAGTGCTGTGGCTGCCTTCATGTTGTCTGCTCTGACCTCCAGGGATGGCAAATTCAGAATGGTAAGGACAAGGGAAAACCCTGCATGGGCTTTTTCTGTTCAAAGAGAGTTTGTGGTACCCTCAGGAAGTGAAACCTTGCCCAGGGTCTGACAGTCACAGTCTCACAGAGGGGTTTGGATGGGAAGGGGCATCAAAGATCACCTCATCCCACCCCTGCCATGGGCAGGGACACCTCCCACTGTGCCAGGCTGCTCCCAGCCCTGTCCAGCCTGGCCTTGGGCATTGCCAGAGGGATCCAGGGGCACCCACAGCTGCTCTGGGTACCCTTTGCCAGGGCTTTACACCCTCTCAGGGAACAATTCCTTCCCAACATTGAATCTGCAGCTTCCCTCTCTCAGTGCAGAGGCACTGCCCCCTGTTGTAGCCCTACAAGCCCTTGTAAGAAGTCCCTGTTTTTGTTTCCAGGCTCAGATCCGCAGTGCAGTGCTGGCTGGAGGCGTCACCATCAGCTGCACCACAGAGCGCATCCACCACCCCTGGATTGCCATGGTCCTGGGGCTGCTGGCCACTGTCATCACCATCCTGGGCTCTCACTGTGTGCAGGTAATGCTCAGTCCCTTAAATACTTCTTGAATAAGCTGTGTAAGTGGTTTTTCCAGTGCAGGAAACCTCTTTTCCAAGCTAGGAAACCTGAGGTGTTTTGAGCAGAGCGCAGGATTGCAGCTCCTGAGAGCAAATTCATCCTCTAGGTCTGCAGCAGCTGATCTGCAGTTACCAGCTTGTGTTTCTGGGTGCAATTAAACCTTTTCCTCTTCCCAGAGGTGCTTTAATCCTGCCTTGAAGCTCCAGGATACTTCTGGAGTTCATTTCACTTTTGGGTTGCCTGCTGTGCTTGGAGCTGTGGCCGCTGTTGTGCTCACAGTTGTAGAAGATGGGATTGCCACGCGATGGAATGATTTATCCAGGTACATGAATTCTTGTATTAAATAATTAAGATAAATAATCCTCACTGCAGCGTGCCCTGAGAAGAGTTGTTGGACACCCAGAGAGCCTGAATGTCACCACAATACATTGCTTTGTATCAGGAAGCCCACCATAACCCTGAAGTCCAAAAACAAAAAAGTCAGTAAAAAGGAATTTGAGATTTGAGCAGACTTTGGGTCCTGTTTTGTGCCTCCCTTTTTGTTTATGTTAAATCCAGCAGACACAGGAGATGAAGGCTGGGCGTGTGCCTCCCTCCAAGGCTCACTTTGGGGTTTGGGATGTTTTGGGGGGCTCAGGAGGGAGGGAGAAATGAGAGTGCAGCATGAGGGCCTGGCACTTCTCATCGTGTTCTTAATGAAACATTTAAAGAAGTTTTAATACCAAAAGGATGGACAAAATAAATCTTCTGAAGTCTGCATTAGGCTTTGGTGTGTTCCTCAAACATCTGACTGCAGCTGCAGATTTGAGAATTACAGCTTCTGTAAGAGATTCTGATAGCTGCAGATTCATTCCCGGTGGTAATGCTAAATAAAAGGTGAAACACTTTTTTTGCTTTCCAGACTGGGTTATGATGCCTTTGTTTATATTGGTGCCTTCTGCCAGACCATCAGCACTGCCCTGATAACAGGATTGATTACAGGTCAGTACTGAAACATCCCAGGAATCCCATTATTTCCTTGGAGCAGGTTTCTCTGGGTAAATCACTTGTGGGATAAATGAGTGCCAGGGACTCCTCCCAGCCAGAGCTGTTTTGCACAGAAATAACCCAGCAGCACCATTCTTTCAGTGCTGAAGTTTTATTTTAACCCAGGTTTAACAGCTGCCTTCAACCTGCAGACAGGAGAGGTGTGAAGATGAAAATACTTCCCCTTTTGGCTGTTGTCTTATTGACAGGAGATGCCCCAATCTGGGGCTTGTCACTTTTTAGGCCATTTGGAGCAAATGTGCAAAGTTTCAACAGCATCAGGAGCTGCCTGAGCGCAGCTGCAGCCCTTTGATCAGGAGATTTGGGGATTTTTGGGACTTTTTGCTGCTTTGGGAGCAGCAGCCCTCACGTGGCTCCCGTGGAATGCTCTGGTTTGTGGCAGCTGCTGCTTTTCCCCAGCCTCTATTTCTGTCTGGGCAACAGAGAAATGGCCAGAGAAAATTGCTGGGAAACACACCCTACAGTGATTTTTGAATGTTTTAATTTATTTAAACCTTTGCATTACTTTAAGTGTCATGAAGAAGGAACAGATGTTCAGAAAACATCCAGCAGAAATAACCAAACATTCACTGTTGAACCAATTGATCAAAAATCCAGAGATTCCCATCAGAGATCCCAAACTCACAGTGCTGATAAGCCACATTGTTTTTAATACACTGGCAGTTTGTTTTTAATACACTGGCAGTTCTCATGCAGGAAACTCATCATTTTGATGTATTTTCATAACCTAGCAGCTGTTTGATGGGGTTTTACCTAAAGCAATTCATTTTTAGTATCCCTTGATCCTGGCAAGCCTCTTTTTGTATTTAAGGCCAGCTCGAGTCAGGGGGGCTCTGCTGGAGGATTTAGGTCTGAATTTGTGTTTTGCTCTGTTAAATTGGGATAAATGTTGCCAAGAAACTCCTGTTACACACAATCCTCCCCTTGCCCTGCTGTTTGTGTTTATTTTGGATCTATTTTCACCAACAGGTTTGATCTTAAACATCAAACTGCTGAAAGCTGTGCATGTCTCCAAGTACTTTGATGACCAGTTTTACTGGGAGGTGAGTTTCAAAATTATTCAGATTCATTGTGGGGGAGTTCATTTAGCACCTGGATGAAGAACTCCATGTATTTGAATTAAAAATATGGAGGAAAAAAGAGTTATTCCTTCTCCCAGCACAAACAGTCCTTGGGCACCCTTAGGTGCTGATGTGAGGCTGTGTCTGAATTACAGGAATAACAAATGGGTGAAAATAAGCTTTTTATCAGCTTTTCCCTTGGTTTGGGGGGTTTTCCTGTGATGATTTGATGTGTTCTGACACAGGAATGTTTGTGTCCACAGTTTCCCCACTTGTCTGTTGGATTTTGAGTGGAGGATCCCAGCTGACAGACAGGACCAAGATAAGATTTTCCCCTTTATCACCAGAAAAACTGAACAGCTATGGTGGGTTCAAAGAGCACTGAAACACCAATTCTCAGACCCACAAAAGCCACCCCAATGGACACTCAAAAATGAAACTGTTCCAGTTATTCTTGAGAGATACAGAATGTAAATTCACAAATGCAAAATTCAGGTGCATTCAGCTTTTCTGCTTTGTTGGCCTTACCTTGAATATTTTTTATAAGATATGTATTCATGGCTTCTCAAACCAAATGCTTGGAAACATGAAAGTATTTTTAGCTCCCAGGTTTACAAGGCAAAATGATGGATTTCAAAGTGTCATTTCTCAAGGACCACTCTTATCTAGCAAAGTGCTCAAGTTTTTAGGCTGAATTGATTCTGCTGAAGGCCTCGACAAGCCAGGATTTGATGAGTGAGCTGGAGCAGGGCCAGAACTCTGCATCCTGCCTGCCTGAACTCCTGGAAAAACCTGGATATTATATACAACTCCTGAAAAATCTGGATATTGGGAGGTTCTGATGGGCAAAGCTCAGCTGTGGGTGGTGTTCCTGAAAGCCCTGGGGTTTGGTGCCAAGTGTGAAACACTGACAGAGCTCAGGGGGGACAGCACAGGGGAGGGGGCTCAGTGCTGCCAGCACCCCATTCTGGAGAGCAGGAATTTGGGGACAGAGCATTCTGTGCCACTGAACCCTGGGTTTAAGTGGATTGTGATCCTCAGTGTTTCTTTCTTTCCGAAATTGTTTCTATAGAAAATCTTTGAGAAGTGCTTACCTAATAAAGAGTGAAAACTGAACCGTGGCTGTTTCCCTTCCTTCAGCACCCTGGGAGCAGTGGTGTCAGAGACATCTTTTATGAAAAATCATTTCCTTAGGATGTTTCCTCCTGAGAAGCAGCAGGAGCTCAGCAGCTCCCAAACCTTCTACACACAAATGGGAGTTGGTACTTCCCAGATACCTCCTCTTTATCACCACAGCATAAAGGAAATATTCAGGAATTGAGGGGAAAGAAAAATCCCAAACCACCCCAGTTCTGGATTACACAAGAAAAGCCACACACCACCAAGTTTTGAAATTGAAGAAATGGTTATATTGCCCAGATATAGGAAACATTTAATAAATATCTATTAAAAGGTTGTTTAAATGCATTTTTAATAAGTCTTGGAGTGTAAATAACATCATAGAAAGAGCTGGTTAAATACATCCGTATTCCACTCTCCTTTTATTTGTAACAAACATCATTTTAGAAAAGTGACTCCACTGCTGTTTGTAGGAATTTTACGTGTCTCAAAAACACCACAACACTGAAGTGGACGTACAAGAGTAAAAAAAATAACCAGAATAGAGCTGGATTTAGTGCTTTCAGCTTTGCTTGATTTCTCTTCAGACACGATGGAAGGTTTACAAAATGGTTTTACAAAACTCTGGGGGTGCAGGTAAAGCCCAGGGGGGTTCACTGCCACAGATCCTCCGTGCGCCCAAACTTGAACACCAGGCCCCTGTGGGAACACAAAGGGACACCACAAAAACCTTGTTTAAAACCTCTCTTGTATAAAACACAGGGTTTCAAGGAGGATTTGTTAACCCAGTTCCTCTGCAGGCAGATCCCAGTTTATTCACACAGATCTGCTCACAAAACAGGACTTCAGCACCACCCAGATCACAGCAAGTTTCCATTTTTTTATCATTAAAAAGAAACGGTAAACAAATAAAAGAGGTCAGTCTTACCCAAAAAAGATGAATGCATTCTGGAAAAACACTGCTATTCCTGGGTACACCACTGGTTTTTCTAAGAGGAAAAAAAAATCCCCATAAAAATTTTTTTGAAGTAATTTTCAAGCCTATCCCATTTCTGACATGTCATCTCCCTTGTGCTAATTTAGCAGAGAGGCTTTGGGAGCAATCTGCAGGAGCTCAGTAATTTGTATTCTGGGAATAAATCTCCACCCAGGGAATGATTCCCTTAAAACTGCAGCAGTTTAATTACACCCACGGAGTTCCCAGCTGGGTTTGTAGAGGAAGTTTGTTCTTAGAAATAGATCAGATCCATGCCAATATCAGTAATGATATGGGAGAGTGGAGTGTAGGGCAAAATATTCAAACTGGGCTTCTAAATACCAGTCCTAAAATGCAGAACAGTGGATTTTAAAAAACTGAAACTCCCCAAAAACAGGCTCAGCTCTTACCTTTAACCACGTAGCCCCCAAAGAGGATCCACATGGAGGCAATGAGGGAGCCAAAAGCCATCATGAAGCCAATGAAGAGCCAGATGCGAGCCCCTGCAATGGGATGGGGATGTGCTGTGCCCGTGGGACCCTCACAAACCCCCTGGCACAGCTGGGACAAGCTGTTGTATTTATGAATTTATGTTCTTAAAAAGCTGATTTATTATTTTATAAATAAATAAAATATATATTATTTTATATACAAAATAATATATATAATTATATATAAGTTATAAATAAATAATTTATATATTACAATATATAAAAATATGCATTATTTAAATATACTATATAATATACATTATACAGTGTAAATTATAATATATAAAATATAATATATAATATAAAATATATAAATTATTATAAAACAATTTTATAAATTATTTTCTATATTATATTAAAAAATGCCGTACTAAAACTATACTAAAAAATACCAAAATATACAAACAAAAAGCTAGAAGATATTAACAAAAACTGGTGACTCTCTTTCCAGAGTCTGACACAGCTTAGCCCCTGATTAATAAAAACAATATAATAAATAATACACAATATTATATAATATATAGTATATATTATAATATATACAATATAATATATAATAAATATATAATACTATATAATCAATAATAGCCCCTGATAAATAAAAATAATTTACGTGAAACCAATAAAACAATCACCTGTTAAATAAACAGTGTCCAAAACAACAAAACGCAAGAAAAACAAATCAGATAATTACAATTTTCATTTTGCTCTGAAGCTTCTCAGCTTCCCAGAAAAAAAATCCCCCCAAAAATTATTATTTTTTTTTTTAATATAAAATTAGCAGGGACCCCATCCCTGGTACCTGTCTGGCCCAGGCAGCCCTCGCTGTAGCTGTCCCCCCGCACCTGCCCGTTGGACACGGCGTTGATCCTGCAGAAAAGGGGACAAAAATGGCATTAAAAATGGCATTAAAAATCTCCTTTTCACTCTCACTGCCCTGCTGGGGTGGGGCCCTGTGTGAGAAGTGCACATCATATGGCTGTCACCTGATTTTTAAAGATTTTCCAAGCTTTCTGATGTTTACATTCTTGTAATGAACTTTCTCGCACACTTTCTGTAAATAACTTACTGGTTTGCATTCTTTTACAGAGAAGGAGAAATTTGATGGACTGTGGGTTTGTCCAGTGTCATTGGAGAAAATAATTTATAAATATAATTTATAAATAATTTGTATACTGTATACTAAATAATACTAATACTAAATAATACTAATATTAATGTACTATGTATTATTTAGTACTATGTACTAAATACTACTACTACTAATAATAATACTAATATATACTAAGTAATTTATATATTATGTACTTTTAAAAATTTATTAAATATACTACTTAAACATACTATAAAAATAATTTATAAATGTACTATTTCATGACTATTAAACTTTTAAAATTTTAATACATTTAAATTAATGTTAAATTTAATAAATTAAAATTTAACTTTTCCACACTCACATGAGGAATGCAATGGTGGCTATCACCCCACAGGCGTGGTAGGAATGGTTGAAATCTTCCATCTGAGGGTATTTCACAGCAGCATCAATGATGATCCACCAGCCTGTGAAAAACTGGGGGGAAAAAGAGGTTAAAATGTAGATAAAGCTTAAAATTCAGAGCTTAAAATGTAGATAGAGCTTAAAATACAGAGATTAAAATACAGATAGAGCTTAAAATACAGAACTTAAAATGCAGATAGAGCTTAAAATACAGAGATTAAAATGGAGATAGAGCTTGAAATACCGAACTTAAAATGCAGATAGAGCTTAAAATACAGAATTTTAAATACAGATAAAGCTTAAAATACAGAGTTTAAACCACAGACACAGCCTGTCCTCAGCCTGGGATGGCTCTAATAAAACATCAATATTTAAACAACCTGACAGCCTCCAACCCAGACTAAATTGACACCATTAGTTTGGGATCAGGCTGTCTGCAGAGCCATTCCAGCAGTTATTTCCACATTGTGAAAAATGCAAAAAACGGTGAAATTTAAAAAATAAACGGAGGAAACCAGGCCGGATTTTGTCAGTAACTCTGCTGCTACCCACGGGGACAATGTATCCCTGTTCTTCCTTTCCTGGGACGGCTGAGGCTGGAGCAGCTTCTAAAACCATCAATTCCAACCCACTAAACCTGTGCCCAAATGCCCCAAAAATCCAGGTATTTTTAATATTCCTATCCGCAGGGACAGTGACTCCAGCACTGCCTGAGCACCCTTCCATGCAGAAATTCCCTCTTTTATCCAACTTGAGGCCGCTTCCTCCCATCCTGTAACGCGGGACAAGGGGCTCCCAAACCGCTCCTGATTTTGATCTGAGTTCAGAAAACCCCAAACGAGCCCGAAGCGGGGAGCAGGGCGGGCCGTACCAGCACCCCCGCGGCCACCGAGGCGATGGTGTTGCGCTTCTCGCCCCAGTCCACGCACTCCGAGCAGCGCAGGCTCTCCAGGAACCCGGACATGGCTCCGCGACTGCGGGGGAAAGGAGAGGGAACGGCGGCTCCGTCCGCGCAGGAACCGAAACGCGGCACCGACCGAGCACCGGGACCGCCCGAGCACCGGGCACCGCCACCGGATCGCACCGGGGCACCCCCGATCCGCGCACCGCGCATCCCCCGCACCCCAATCCCTGCATTCCCTCGCACACCCTCCGCACCCCGGTCACCGCACCCCTCGCATCCCCCGCACCCCGATCCCTGCACCCCGCGCATCCCCCGCACCCGGGTCACGCATCCTCCGCACCCCAATCCCCGTACCCCGCGCATCCCAATCCCTGCCCCCCGCGCA